TTTGTTTAGTCCTGCCGGACTCTCTTTCACACTGAGACGAGCATTTGTTTAGTCCTGCCGGACTCTCTTTCACACTGAGACGAGCATTTGTTTAGTCCTGCCGGACTCTCTTTCACACTGAGACGGGCATTTGTTTAGTCCTGCCGAGCTCTCTTTCACACTGAGACGAGCATATGTTTAGTCCTGCCGGACTCTCTTTCACAGTATACGAGCATTTGTTTAGTCCTGCCGGACTCTCTTTCACACTGAGATGAGCATTTGTTTAGTCCTGCCAGACTCTTACACACTGAGACGAGCATTTGTTTAGTCCTGCCGGACTCTCTTTCACACTGAGACGAGCATTTGTTTAGTCCTGCCAGACTCTTTCATACTGAGACGAGCATTGGTTTAGTCCTGCCGGGCTCTCTTTCACACTGAGACAAGCTAATCTGTTTAGTAGAAACTTTGAAAAATCAGCTGTTACTGAAGCTAAGTGATAAGTGTAGTGTGGGAAGAGCTGTACCATAGACAGTAATGATAAAATTTGTTGAGTTTATATTTGGTAGTGCTGTTTACATGTGAATTTAAGTTGAAAGTAGGCTATTTTTAATAATATTATCATTACTTATTTTTTGTATTTTTGTATTTTTTTTATTACTGTAAATATTCAGTAATTTTTACTTAGTAGTCATCAACAACAGGTACTTTTACTTTTTAACTGAGTGAATATTTTCAGTACATTATCCATCATTGCCATAGAGCACAGGTTAACATAGTTTAGAAATAACTTCTAAGAATTCCTTTACAAAAGAAACATCCTAGACTTGCTTGACAATAGAGGTCGTCCCATACACCAAACCTCAAATACATTTAACAAGTGCCCAAAAAGTCACGGGTTATCTTATGAATGGGATTGTTTTTTATTAGGTACCTTGTTAGACCTATTGGTATTTACATTATTAAACATCTTGTTAGTACTGTTGGCATCATTAAATACCTTATTAAACGAAACCGGTATTCCATGGGACAGTAATAACAGTTGAATATACGTATCTTGGTGTGTGTGATAATAGTTGGAAGCCAAATGCCGTCAGGAGATGGACGAACACAAACAGAAACTAGACAAAGAGTATGAAAACCTGCTTCAACAGTTCAGTAAAGAATTAGAAAAGGTACAGGTGAAGCACCAGCAAGATCTAGAACGAAAGGTTAGCCCAGTTCTGTTTTTAACCAGAATTATTAGTTTGCTATATAGCTACCCATTTTCATCATCTCATCCTTGTTTTATCCATTTTGTGTATATTTCATAAACTCTAGGTTTTTAATTAAATAAAACTCCTTCAGCTGTTTCAGCTCGTATCTGTAATAATTTCATACGTATTGTGGGGAATGCCAGCATACATAGTAATTTGAAGACTGTTAACTGAGACGGCTGTCGTGGTAACGTGTTTCGTGTTGCGGATACTAAGAACCAAAGACC